AGGGAGGGGGTGGCCAGGTCTGCGAGAAAAGGGGGGGGGGGGAAGAAGAAAAAAGAAAAGAGGAAGAAAGAAAGGAAGAGAAGAAGGGGTATTTTAGGAAGAGTGAGTATGAAAATGCAGAATGAGAACTTTATTTCGGGATGGAGAAAAACGTAGAGTGGGAACTTTAATTCCAGACGGAAGGAGTATGTTACTGTTGGATGATTTTCCTCATTATTTATGGGTGTTTCCTTTAAGGCACAAAAATGACGCATTTAATCATTTAACTTCAATAACACTGTCCGATCTCTCCTCATCCAAACCCAACTACCACCTACTTTTTGGGTCGAGGCCCTCCATATGACAGCCCATATTCTTAACATCCTTCCCACCACTACTTTAAACAATAAAACCTCCATGGCGCTCTCTACAACTCACCACCCTCTTATTCTCATCTTTGCATCTTTGGTTATCTTTGCTACCCCAATATCTCCACCACGGTCCCTCACAAACTTGCACCACGCTCAGCTCGCTATATTTTCCTAGGCTACCCCTCCAACCAATGTGGCTATCATTGCCTTGATCTCTAAAACAACAAAATTATCATCTCCTTCCATGTTGTGTTTGACGAGTTGTGCTTCCCGTATGGTCACCTTGTCACACCCCACGACCTCGGTTTCCTGAACGCCATGGATAATGACCTACCCTCCCCCTACCATCACTCTCGGCCCTACCCGCCCACCACAGATCTACCCGCGCCCCTCCCAAACCTCTCGGGCCAGCCCGCTGCCAACAATCAGCCTGCACCCCTCCAAAACCCGTACCCCAGTCCACTGCCACTACGCAACCCCCTCCATTGTCTGAAATAGTCAACCCCACTTTCCCCCCTCCATTGGCCCGCCCAAAGTCCATCCCCACCAACCCCCCCTTCGGCCTACTCCCGAAGCCTAGACACCCCATTCCAGCCCTCGGCCCAGCCCTGTCTAGTACCCCACACCTGAATCCCAACCCAGCCCACGATCCATTCACCTCCCTCACCGGCCAACGTCCACCCCATGAAAACCAGATCTTAAGCCAGTGTTTTCTACCCATAACAAATACTCAACCTGAACACATCTGTACCCATCTCTCTCTTATCCCTAACTTATCATAGTGCTCTAAAAGATCCAAAGTGGCATTTTACTATGTGTGATGAAAATAATGCTTTGACTAAGAATGACTAAGGCTGAATTGGAAAAAACTGGAATGGGTTGGAAGAAACTGAAAATAATTAAAAAAATTAAAAATTGGAAGAAATTAAGAGTTGAAAGAAATTGGAAGGAGTTAAAAAATATTGGAAATTAAGAGTTAACGTTCAAAAGAGAAAGCCTAAATATCTCTTGTATGTTTTTATTTAGAATAAATTTCATAATTGGTCTTTTATAACATGGAGGTTTCCCTATTTGGTCCTATATTATCAAATATTACTTCGAAGGTCCTTCTTTTATGAATATCTTTCCACAGATAGTCCTTTTTATCTTTTATCATGTTCATGTTAATTTGAGGACTAAAAGTATACTTAAAAATAATAATATATGTTTCTTGTCATACACAATTCTAAAGGCCGTTCCTGATGAGTTGTTTTTGAATTACAGTCGTTTTCTACTAAAATCATAATAGTGGTCTTTTGTAGTAATCCTAGCTCACAATTATAGTCATTATTTTTGTGTTATTTGTCTAACCAATATCTAAATATGTTACTGAACATAAGGTTATGTCAAATTATACTTTTAGCATTTAAATTAACACCAGCATGATAGATTTGTGAAAAGGTACTCATAAAAGAATGACTACGAAGTAATATTTGATAATAGAGGACTAAACGTGGAAACCCCCTATTATAAAAGATATGGAATTTACTCTTTTATTTACGTCCTACCCCATTTTAGGTAGGATAAAATTATTTGTACTCTAATGGTTTGTACCTCATTTGTACACCGTAAGTGTGCATTAATATTTTGTGTTGCTGTAATGCTAATTTTTGTTAACGAACTAACATTTTGTATCAGTGTAAATCATCAAAATGTTAGTTTATACCTTTAGTGTAAGTTTGAGGTATAATTTTTGGTGTAAGTGTAGCATGATCCTTTTAGGTATCCCTAATTTTGCCCATTTTCGACTCAGTAATGCTAGAGTCACAAACAAACAGTTCAAAAAATTCACAAACTTATCTTTTTAGCACTTTCCTAGAAATAAGATGCACTCTAATAATAAAAGATTTTTAATTTAAAAATCCACAAAAAGTAAGTTTGTGAAGTTTGTGAAATACTTCCTCTGTCCACCATAGATCTTCGCAGTTGCTATTCACAGGGTCAAACTTTAATCACTTTGTTTGCTCAGTTTTACTAGTCATTTCGTAAAATAATATAATCTTGTCATCTCTAGTTTTGTAGAACTTTTCATGTAATTTATTACTATATGAATTTTATTGGTCCTTTATAACATGAAGGTTTCCCTATTTAGTCCTCTATTATCAAATATTACCCAAGTGGTCCTTCTTTTATGGTTACCTTTCCACAAATAGTCCTTTTTTTGATCTTCTATCATGTTGGTGTTAATTTGAGGCCTAAAAGTGTAATTTCACAATGATAATATATTTTTTTTGTCATACACAATTCCAAAGGCTGTTCCGTTTGCGTTGTTTGTGAATTACAGTCGCTTTTTACGACAACTATAGTCTACAAATGTGATCTTTCGTCAGAATCCTAGGCCACAATCATAGTCATTATTTTTGTGTTATCCGCTTAACCAATATCAGAACACGTCACTAGACTTAATGTTGACGTCAAATTATACTTTTAGCCTTTAAATTAACACCAATACGGCAGAAGATCAAAAAAAGGACCATTTGTGGAAAGGTACCCTTAAAAAAAGGACTACGGAGATAATATTTGATAATAAAGGACTAAATATGGAAATCCCCCTGTTATAAAGGACCAATTATGGAATTTACTCAATTTTATTTTAAAATTTTACTCTTATAATCAATTAAATTGAATTGAAAATAAAGTCGATCAAGCCTCGTAACCCGCAATGGGAAGATTTTACTTTTCTACTTGTTCTTCATATACGGACTACTCCGTACTTTTCTTGAATTTTCGCCTTTTCGGCAGATGTTTTAGTTTAGGGGGAGTGCTATGCCGTTTCTATAAAAAGTTCAGTGAGGACTTCGAGACGGGGCCTAGCAGAAAAATTCGTGCGCTGCTTTGGATTCTCTGATTATGTTTTGTGTTTGAAGGGGAAAGAAGCAGAAAATTACTGCTAGGTGTCCTCTATTTTGAAATAATGACTATCGGGTACCTTTAATTTTTAAAATATACTACGAAGTACCTTAAAATATTGAAAAACGGATTGAAGGGTGATTTTCCATCCTTCCTCCCGTTTGTTCCTACTACATCCGTTACTTCTACACCATCACCATCATATCATCCATCATCCATCATGCACCATGATTTCTCCCTCGTCATTCTTCTTCTTCCTGGTCCTTCCCCTCCTCATCTTCTCTTCTTCTTTGTTCTCCTCCACATCTAGCCCCCCCACCCCCCCAAACCACACCCCCCTTTTTATTCTTCTTATTTTTCTATTATTATTATTATATTATTATTATAATAAAAAAATTATTAGTAATTTTACACCCTAAAAAGTAAATTTACTGCTCTAATATATAGAAAAAAGCACTAATAAATTATAAATAGTGCTAAATATGCAGTAATACTGATACCTGCAAAGGAAAGGGAAAGGCTGTGGCACAAAGGCTGTGCGCAGTTAGGGTTTTAGGAGGGTGGAAAAACGAGAGAGAGAAGGAGAATTTGGGAGAAAGAGTAATTCTTATTGCTTGCGTTGTTGAAAGGACCCAACATCCTTTAAATAATAGTTGGTTTCTCCCGATCCTAGTTGAACTAAGTTATCTATCCTGTCGGTTCAAAGAAAAGCGACGAGGTAAAGAACCGAAAAGAAACCCTCGAAGGAGCTTATATTTTGCTCACCTAACAAAATCTAAATTACAATAAATTAAAATAGAAAAGAATTAAATATAATCTGCATAACGTTTCGGGGCTTGAACGGACCGCTTCGGGCGAACACGTCGTGGAGCCGAGTGGTCTGTTGGGGCGGTCTAGTTAGAAACAATCCCCGTATCAAATACTTATTGTTATAAATAGAGTATTACCACTACTAATTATTTTTAATATAAATAATGATATTAATTATTATTATTGTTAAAAGAATTTGTAGTTGTACTACTCTTTTTTTTTTTGAAAAAAACACTAATTATTATTAATTTTAATTACTCCTTCCGTTCATTTAAACCCTCCCATTTTAACTTTGGGCCAAATAAAGAAAATGTAATTTTGTTTGATTTTCTAATTTTGCCCTTGATGTGATGGTAAAAGTAAGATGTGATAGTTTGATTATTACTGAAAAAGTATGATGTGATCAATAGGGTATGAAAAAGTAGGAGTAAAAATGGTTTTTAATAGAAAGTGGAACTGTTTTAAGAAATTGGTAAAAAACGAAAGGAGAAGAGTTTTATGGAACATAGTGGGTATTTATTATAAATATTATTTCTTTATTATTATTTTCTTCTTGTATTCTTATTCTTATTTATTACGGAGTACTTGATATTTATCACTATTTAGAGTAATACATTTACTACCTTTTTTAGGGTGTGAAATTACTAATTAATTATAAATAATAATAATAATAGAAAAATAAGAAGAAGAAAATTAAGAGAGGGTGGGGTGGGGGGCTGGATTGGAGGAAGAAGAAAAGTAAAAAAAAAGAAGAAGAAAAGGAAAAAGAAAAAAGAAGAAGATGGTGATGACGGCTGGGGTAATATGAAGAGGCCAAGAGGGGATGATGATGACGGATGTAGTTGGAGCTAACGGAGGGATGGTTAGTTTTTCAATATTGTAGGGTACCTCGTAATATATTTTAAAAACTAGAGGTACCCCACAATTATTTTCTCCAAATAAAGGGTACCTAGGAGCAGTTTTTTTTTTTTGGGGAAAGAAGGGTTCGCTCTGGAGGTTGATTTCATCTTTTGTTTTATCGGTTTGACTTAGCTCAGAAATGGAAGCATAGGTTTTGAAGTAATACACGAGCATATTTTTCTGATGATCAATTAAACTAACACAGCGAAGTTTATATCGAATTTCCCATCTTTGTTCAAATAAGCTTTCGTATGCATTTATCTCTAATAATTTTTGTGATCTGGTGAACCTTTTTTTGACGAGTGTTGCTTTTACTGTCATGTATTTAGGAATGGCTGCAGAGGTTATCAGAGGTCAATCAAAGTCTTTCCTTGGCTTTGAGATTGTTGAGGGTGGATCTGATAGCCCATCAGTTGACCCTTCGTTTAGCCTCAAGCTTCGACACAGAATTGGAAGGGGTGTGTTTGGTGATGTTTGGTTGGGGACTCGTTACCTAAATGATGGGGATCATGAAGTAGCTGTTAAGATTTTGCATCCTATAAACACGAAGGATATGAATGTCGTACGGGATCGGCTGGAAAATTTGCTTTCTCAACTCAAGGGACTGGAAAATGTTTGCGAGATTCAAGGAGTATCTGTCATAAATGGGAGGGTGAGTATACAAACTGTGTACCTATGATATTAGTTCTTGACATTTAGTTCCTGTCCAAAATTTGTATTGTTGTCCCAGTTATGCATAATTATGAAGCACTATGACGGCTCGGTTGGTGACAAGATGGCTCACATGAATGGGGGAAAGCTGTCTTTGGAGGATGTTATGAGGTGATCCTTGCTTATCATAGTTGAAAAGTTGGTTTAGAAGGGAGATGGGTCGTCTTTACTACCCCCATTCTTTCATTCATTTATTTGAAATTTACAGGTATGGCGCTGATGTTGCACAAGGTATCATGGAACTGCATTCAAGAGGATTCTTAATCCTAAGCCTCAAACCGTGTAACATCCTTTTGAATGACAATGATCGGGCAATGTTGGGGGATATTGGAATTCCTTATATGTTGCGGGGTGTACCTTTGTTGGGTCCTGATATGACTAGAAGACTGGGTACCCCATACTACATGGCCCCAGAGCAATGGGAACCAGAAATAAGAGGTCCCATATCCTTTGAGACAGACTCATGGGGGTTTGGTTGCAGTATTGTGGAGATGTTGACTGGGAGTCAGCCTTGGGTTGGTAAATCTGTACAGGAAATTTATAAATGTGTTGTTATGAGACAAGAGAAGCCACATATTCCTGCCGGTCTCCCTCCTGCTGTTGAGAATGCCCTTGCTGGTTGTTTTGAGTATGATTTGAGAAACCGTCCTCTCATGGAAGACATATTGCATGCATTTAGAAGGTATACCTTTCATTTTAGACTTCAGCGGAAATGGCATAAAATAAAAAGAGAATTCCTAAAGGGTACATGATATGGAAGTTAATACAACTTGGCCATGGTATTATACATTGTTTATCCAAATCCAGTTTCTTTTGAGTAACTTTTAACAATTTAGATTAATTAAGTTTGTAAAGGGTGCACCAATGTGATTTCACGTCTTCTTTGTTTGTATTGATTATTGGTTATTTCAACTTTATAAAGTATCAACTAGACTAGTTTTTGTTTGGTCTAGAGGCTGAGAGGAATTTAGTTGAAATATGTGAAAATAGCAATCCTTACATAGTCAAGAACCAATCATTACATTTGAGGGACATTTGTTTGCATGGTCTACACTATGGAGAGGGAAGAAATAGAACGAGGTTTTTGTTTGTCCTACAGCTGCCCTACATTATTAACTTTACAAAGTATTTCAGCATCCATTTTAGTTAAAGATAATGTTAAGCAAAATTCGTTTAGGACAATTTTTTTGCTATAATGCTCTAGAATATTCATCTCTAAACCATATATGGACCCGGTCAATCTTCTAGTGATGAAAAAAGATATTTACGGTAATTGTAATAGTTATGTGATGTTAAACTATATCCATTAACCGTGAGGTAGAACTATATCCATTAACCATGACCTTTGTCGTGATATAACAATTGAATATTTGAATTTGGTATCACTGTTTTCAACCCTATGAATTAATATGGTAAACTACGTTCCACATTTTTTCCCAACAACCATTAATTATGAGTTCGGATTTGAGATAATGAAGTGATTTTTTGTAATTAATTCTCATGTCTCTTCTTGTAAGTGGTTTTAGTGTAGTTCAAAATTCTTTGTTGAACTTGTAACACGAAAACTCCATTTGTAGGTTGATGGTCTTTGGGATTTTCTTACCGAAGAAATGTTATCCTTATATACAGGCTTCAATTAATGTGTAACATGCATACTTCATATTTGTTATTTAGCTTCCGTCATAAGACCAACAAAACTTGAAAGCTGCCATCATATTAGGTATTCTTTCTGGGAGTACCTAAACAATATTATGATGTGTTCCTTGTCGTTGTTGTAACTTGTAAGCCTATCACTTTCATTGTCTTGTAAGGTTGCACAATTGGCTCATTTTTGTCTATACCTAACTACCACTGATTGATTCTTAAATACTGTATACACTACCACCAGCAGTAATTTTTCCTGATATTTTGCAGTTCAGAGAATGCCACCTACGGCGATGGAGGTTGGACTGGTCTTGTCAATGCAAAATGTTTGGATAATTGTAAACCTGTCGGCTATAGTGAGTGGTTTCTGCTGAAACATCAGCTTCAGATGGGAGATGTGGTTCGATCCAGAAAACCACCCAATTCAAGCAAACCCCAAAGTATGGAGATACCAGAAGGCACCATAGTAGGAATGCTGGATGATGCAGACAGAAGTGGATTTGTTCTGGTAAGGGTCCACAGCATTCATGATCCAATCAGAGCTCACAGATCTACACTGGAGCGGGTCAGTTTTGGGTTTGCAGTAGGGGATTGGGTGCGTCTGAAAGAGGACAGAAAGAAACATTCCCCTGTGGGTATTCTTCACGACATCAGTAGGGGTGGTGAGGTGACCGTTGCATTGGTTGGACTGGAGACTCTTTGGAAGGGTAACTACACGGAACTTCAGATGTCGGAAGCTTATTGTGTTGGTCAGTTCGTAAAGATAAAATCAGACGTGTGTAGCCCTCGGTTTGAATGGCCGCACCAAACCAGAGGTGGTGAGTGGGCTACTGGCAGGATCATCAAAGTGCTGCCAAATGGTTGTCTTGCTGTCAACTTCCCAGGCAGACTGACATTCGGGAAGGAAGGTAACGACTTCTTGGCTGATCCAGCTGAGGTCGAACTCGTTTCTTTCACTACTTGCTCAAGCATCGTGAAGAAATATCATCACCTGGAAGATTTCCACTGGGCCGTAAGGCCAATCCTAATTGTCTTGGGCTTATTCACTGCCATGAAGACGGGACTCTTCGTCGGGAAGAAGATCGGGGGTTCAAAGTGTAGGATGAGACGATCTGCAAAACAAGGTGTGCTGCAAACTGGAGAGGGCAAGACTGCTGCTGCCGCGGCGTGGCTTCCCCCAAAGATGGCTAACGCCATATTCAGAGACGCTGCTGCACCCTCTACTACTTCTCCCTAGTTAGTAGTCCTCAAGATGAATGTTTTCAGGTTTGTGCATTGATTCTGAACTTCATCAAGGCTGTTTGTTTGGTGGTAGGTAATATATGGCTGCTGTATATCTGTAAATTACAGTAATTTATAAATACGTAGGTTTTTATTTTGGGTTTTTTCTTGCCACGGTTGATGCCAAATAATAATGTAACTATGTCAGACCTTTTGTGAAATATGGGGTGATTGAATTTCGGTTTTTAATGGCGGTCGCGCAATGGTAGTGTTTTAGAAACCTCAAATTTATGCCTTTTTTTGTTTTAACATATTTTTTTTTTACTATTATAGAGTTGTTATGTAAAGGATAATTAGCTTAGGATGATATTGCATCACAAATTTTTTAATTCATACGTGACCATGCACATTATTTATCTTTACATAAGTCAAAATTGGTTTTTTAATTACTATTTTCTTCGTCTTAATTTAAATCGATTGTTTAAATTTACGATATCTAATTTAAATTCTTTTCAATACAACATATTTCAAAATTGAAGTAATTAAAAAAATAAATTCACATATTAAAAGACAACGTCAAAAATTTTACAAAGCAATAGGTGACATAATTATATTTTTATAAATGGGTAACGAGAATAAATAAATAATATAAAACAAGTTTGATCATATAAATGGAATAGTAAACATGTAACTAAATGAGAAATCGCTATTAATAAGACTAAAACATTATTCTATTCTCAAAAATAGGAGTTCATATTTTTTATTACCCAAATAGGACTATTCGCGTGCCTAATTCCCCAGGGTATATTTCTGTCTCCCTTTTATGCCCTTCCTGCACGTTTTCTCAATTCTTCTACCTCTCACCCCACTCTTCCTTCTCTCTATGCGCCTCTCTCTTCCATCTCTCTTCCTTCAGTTTCTACACTGCATTTTAGATCTCCCTTTCGGCCCACACAGATCTTAAGTTGTTCAAACAATTGAAATCAGTTTAATCTATGTTTGGATCGAGGGAGGTAAAGTTTTATTAGGTATGTAATAGTAGATAATTGAAGGTAGGTAAAATAATGTAATAAGTTGAAAAAATGTGTTTGAATAATTATTAAGTAATATAAGATAGGTAAAACAATAAAATTATATAAATATACTTGTACCTGTTTTGTAGTTTATTAGTTTCTTGTATTTAGGTCAATATACATATAATCATATGTTGAAATCTGGTAAGTGAAGCCTGAGGCGCGGAAGACCATCGCTAGCAATTGGAAGTAGAATTGATCGGGAATCCAACGACCTCCATCTTCATCAACAACCTCCATCTTCATCAACAACTTCCGCGGAAGACCTTCATCAACAACCTTCATCTTCATCGCCGCGCAGCCTCCTTCATCGAGAATCGCCGATCGGGAATCCATCGCGCAGCCTCCTTCGTGGTCGATCCATTCGGCCGTTCTTGCAGCAAGCCCCCTTTCGCCCTAATTAATTGCTGGCTGTACGTAGGGCTGTCAACGGATACCCGAAAATCCGATTACCGTCCGCATCCGAATCCGTTTAAAGAGGAAATATCCGCATCCGTTTTAAACGGATATTATCCGTATCCGATTACTAAACGGATACGGATTTGGTAATTGTATATCCGATCCGTTTAAAATCCGATCCGAATATGCATCCGTTTAAATAACCGTTTATCCGAATATCCGATCTGTTATATATAATTTTTCCTAAGTTTTTATGTTTATATTTTGTTTTTCTATTGATATTTAAAAATATAAGACATTTTTATAAACAAAATAAATGTGTAGACACATAAAAATATGTACAGACATAAAAATATGTGTATAAGTGTGTTGTGTATATATCTTTTTATCATATGAAGTTTTCGTAGGATATAATAAATCATGAAAACAAAGAAAATAATTATCTCATACCAAATTATAGTTGATTTAATAATAGTTTGACTTTAATCTAATTTAAAATTAAAGTATTATTTAATTTGATTTTAAAAATTAGAAACGGATACGGATATATCCGATATCTGACCGATATCCGACGGATACGGATACGGTTTTGATTTTCAGTATCCGTCAAGATCCATATCCGAATTCGATATCCGACAAAAATAAACAGATACGGATTTGGTAATTGCACATCCAGTCCGATTAATATCCGTTTACACCCTTAGCTGTACGGGACCGTACAGCCGGATGTATAGTTTAATTTGCGCAAAAACCCTGGTAGTAAACATAACATTAACAAGCTTGCTAATAATACCTAGGGCGTTCTTCTCTCTTTTTTTTCTTTTTTCTTTTTGAAAGATACCCAGGGCGTTTATGTAGTTTTTCTACACAACATGCTCAGATAATCCAATACTCGCTCCATCTCACAACTAATGTAAAAAAAAACGATTACAATGATTGGCTGAATTTATTTTTAATTCAGTTTCTTTAAATTCAATTTCTTTAAATAATGGTACAAATTTGTAAGCAAAACTCTTTATACTCCAGGGTATTTTAAAACTACATCAATTTTATAAAACAGATGACAGTATTTTTACACGAGTTAAATTCGATAATAAATTGAGTCAACTCAACTTCCAAAATATGAGCCACGTTCACATTCATTCTAAGCATGTAACGTAGACTATTTTTCCCCACAGAAAGGAAAAGCCAAATAGATATTATTCAACCACATAAAGGGCTCATGTGTTGGGAAAACAAGCAGTTGAATAATACATATAACCCTCAAATACCGGTGATAGAAATTACAAATGTACAAATAATTGCATCACACGCCAATAAACAAGCACAACTTGAATGTGCAAGCACAATTTGTATCCTAAACCGGTGTGCTGGCCTCAATATATGAAAATATGAATGTAAACAATCAATAAAGAGTGGAGGCCGCCGATGGGTGGCATGTCAAGAAAAATCAATCATTTGTAGCTCATTTAGAAAGTCTCTAACCTTGCTGTTATCAGTCTGCTGATGGGTGGCCACAACCTCAACTGAGGATGAAACAGTATCAGCAGATGTTGATGGGACATTCTGTCCAGTTGCAGTCGCGGGAGCAGAAGTATCCGATGGTGATGTGGCAAAATCCTGACGATTATTATCATAATCCTCTTTTTGGTTCATTTCTGTAGTTGCATGTGAGACTGATTGCAAGGCAGCATCAATTGGTTCCTCCGATGGTTGTGGACCAGAAGAGCCTTGTGGAGGAGGAGGTGGAGGTGGTGGTGGTGACGCAGATTCTTGTGGCGGAACTTCCGGAGCTGGCAATGATGCAGTCTCTGGTTCGGGGTTAGGTGGAACACCCGATTCTGAAGCCGGAGGAACTGTTGGATTTGGTGGTGGTGTTTTTGAGCCTTCTAATAACATTGGTGCATCTGATTTCTGAAGTACCCCTTGCTGCTGCTTGCTGGGTCGATTTGTTTGACTAAGATTTGGACCATAGAGTGATGCCATCCCGGGAGGTAGAATTTCAATGGGGGACTTTTTGGCCGCATCTGCCAAACTTGTCAACTTGGGTTCCTCAAGGGAGGCCAAGAAAGCAGCAGCAGCATCGGTTTTTGTTGAAGAGATACACTCCATTTCTTTTTGTAACATTTTGTTCCATAATTGCACTAAGGATCTCAATGAAGGTCGCCCGTGAGCCTAAGGACAGAGAGATTTAACTATATTAGCACTAACAGCTCCGAAGAGTCCAGATACACAATTAAATTTGGCGCGCCATTAACAAACCAACATCAATGCTAAATAAGCTACTAAAGCATTAAAAGTTGGGTGGTATAAAATACATGAGCATGAAGAACAGCCTCTGCAAGCATCCCTGTTTCCTCCCATGCTTTCTCCATAAGTCCATTGTCACCCAAAAGTGCAGCCCCAAATGCCGCTTCTCGTCCAGAACCAACTGATATCAGGTTGTTAACCAAATTCTGCAAAAGATCATATTCTCAATAAGATGACTTTGGAGGGACCTCCATATGTTCCAAGATATTATTTAATTTCACCATCTATCTTTGTGGTGTATAGAAGAAAAAGAGAGTACAATACTACAATATGACAAAAAAGACGAGAACGTTTTACACACAGCAAGTCGTGTCAACTCTCCGTGATTAGCTAGCCTCAAAGCGACCCCTCGTAACTCCTGACCTTGTAAAGCTCCCTTCACTGCACCTGCAGCTGCTAATCTTTTAAGAGCTTCACGAGCAATGTCGGACTGCCCAGTGGCATCTGCAGCATCGATAAGGTCCATGAACTCCTTTGCAAATTTCACAATTCCTTGAACAGCTTCCACAACATTTTCCTTCTTTTCTGTCAAACTCATTATGTCTCTCAGATCCAAACCAAGAGCTTCTTGACCGATATCCCTGCTGTTGCTCATTGTTAGAAGACACTGGAGTGCTCTTCTTAAATCGTTGCTCTGCATGGCCAAATCAAACTCCAACTTTTTAGATATACCAGGCAAGTGAAGTGCTTCAGTAGCATAACCCATCCTGAGCATAAATTGTGCCAGGTCATCATGATGCTCCCTACCAAGTCGAATTGCCCATTTCACTGCACTAACAGCATCCCCATAAGCTGCTAGACAGCGACAACGAACGCCGGGATGGCTGAGGGATATAGCATGTGCGCACATATATCTATCGACTAGCCACAAAACACCATCCCTAACACCCACGATGACAAGAGGTCCAACTGGTCTTTTCTGCTCTGCTGGAAAACGAGTGACAGCAACCGCAACTCCGCCCCCACCAACAGCAACCTCACTAACTCTCCTCTCTTCAGTATCTTTAAGCATCCCTGAGTCATCACTTTCAGCCTTGGGTTGCTTAGGCAAACTCAAGAATGGGGGTACAGAGAGTGAATTCTGAAAAGACCCTAATCGGACAACCTGTAGCATAGGGGGTCTTAATGCAATCCTCTCATTAGCAGCCGTTTGCTTGCTGTCAACTGTTATCAATGCTAACTCTCCATGCTCGGTAACAGCTCGTGCTTGTGCTTCTTTCAGTCGTATCTCTTCCTTTCTGCGTTTTGTTTCTATGTCAATAACAGCGACACCAGCATCAACAAACACACACTCAATAGTAGTGGGTGTAGCAACAAATAACTGCCTCCGTTGCCAAACAGCCCCAGTAGCATATGGAATTGCCACATCTCCCAGGCATCGGAACTGGGGACGCAATGAAGAGATGACAATGTGTTGAGGATAGGCAAATGCACAATACTCCACTGTTTGGTCCCATG